GTTTCCGAGCCCTCTATTTTAAAAATTAGGCCAGAACGGGCTATTTAAAAATTATTTGGAAAATATTGCTTATTTATAAGAAAAGTCGAATGGTTCCAAGCGGGGTAACTCGTGAGAAGAATTCAGAAAGACTAAAATTCATCCGTTTGGCTTCAGAGGGAGTTTTCCACCCGCAAATAATCCTAAAATATTTAAGTATTTTTTACCCTTACCATACGCAGGTTATGTACGGGCTCATAGTGGATATATATGCACAAAGTAGACGTATGCAGCAAAATTTATGACCTATATACGTTCCATAGACTTTCAGTTTTTTGCGGAAATGTATACCGGGTCCTTGTAAACAGATTGTTTCCAAGTGCGCGTTCAGAGAAGAAGTAAGGAAATAAAAAACGGAACCAGATAGAACATTTTATACATTTTATATGTTGAAATGTTCGATAGAAATAACTTCCAGTAACTCCTCCCTAGTAACGGTCAAAATTACTTTCTATTGGTTTTACATGTGATTTCAGTGCTAGTTCCGGTCCTGATTTCCTTATTTCTTCTATAAGGTGCATTGTCGGAACCGTCTATTGCCCGTTCTCAGCCAATTTTTGAGCTAGAGGGCTCGAAAACAATACACTTCTTGTTTTTTATGACATGCAATTTCATTTCCATAGAAACTTCTTGATCATCACTGAAGTAATAGGCTTCGCTATCGCTTACATTGGAACCTTTTGAGGTGTAAATCTCCGACTTCGTTGAAACTTGGAAAATTTGAAGGTTATAACTGTGAGGTTCAGGAAAAATTTCGTGTGCCATCCGACTTCTAGTATAATAACCTTAAAATTTCCGTGTTTTAACAAAATCGGAGATTTACACCTGAAAAGGTCCCCTTGTCAGCCAACAAAAAAGGGGCAATAGTTGTCCTAGTCTTCCCAATTTCTAACGGCGCGCCGAGGTATGGCAGAAGCAGGCGAGGGAGGAAGCTGAAGGGGGCGTGGGTAGCGAAAAGGAGCAGCAGAACGTTAGTGGGGCTGCAAAGTGAATTAAGGTGCAGAGAAGGGAAGTACACAATTTCCGGTTTGGATCTTTGGTGGTGATGGGGAGTGCACACGGCGCGGCACACCAGTGAGACGCAAGGAATGGAGAGGGAGGGGGTTGCTACAGGAAGGGGAGGAGTACTGTACGGTACGCCCCCACCACAGCTGCTGCCGCCAGGTGCTGTGCTGTAGCAGCAGGTGCAGCGAAAACAATGAAAACGGGAACAGAGAAAAACGAGAAACAACAGTCGATGGTTGGTTAGACAAAGCCAAAGCAGTCCTCGCAGTGTATTCTTTTACTAGCGAGTCCCCTTTAGGTCGTCTACTTTTTATCTCTCGGTCTCTCACTCTTTCTTCCCTTCTCTCTCTCTCTCGCTCTCTCTCTCTCTCTCTCTCTCTCTCTCTCTCTCTCTCTCTCTCTCTCTCTCTCTCTCTCTCTCGCTTTTCTGGTGCAATTACCCTGGGAGCGGTGCACAGTTCGGCTCAAGCAGGCCAGACAGCAGATAGAAGACGGGCTGCGTGCGGATAACCGGCGGTCCCTTGAGTGTGAGCCGCCCGCTACGGCGACATCCAAGTCCCCTCCCCAAACGTGTCCCCATTGGGGTAGGCCAGGCCGGGGGGCTGAAGAGGGGAGGTTTGCGAAACCGGTGCTGCCTCCTGGGCCTCGGCTAGCGCCCCCAGCTGGGGAGATGATCAGCCAGACCAGCCTGGGAACATCCCCACCCCGACAGGAGCCGCACACGGGTCAGGGGCCTTCAAAGCCTTACTGGGACTGCGGGGGAACTTGAAAGCGAGCAGCTGGACACAGTACAGAGCCGTTGTAGGTATTCGTACGCCAGACCACGTCTCCCGTAACAGGCTTCGCGATAGGCCCTATTCATATCACGAAAAACTGCTACGCTCCGGCGCCTGGTGCCTGTGTAGCTAGACTATAAGTTGTAAGGTAACTACGGGGATATGGCCGCACGGCCTCCAGCCATTAAATTAGGAACTATGGTTTCTGAAATATTAAGGCTTAGTTACAAACCATTATGGTGATTTTAACCGAAGTCAGCGTGGTGCTGACGACGACCTCTGCTTTGCCGCTGTTAATTTCCCGCTTCAGCTGCGACAACACGGTCTGGCGCTCTATGATGAAGGGGCTGCCCCCAACCCTTCCCTGCCGAGCCAGAACTGCAGTGATGCAGATTATGCTGGAAGGATCGGTGGTGCGGGCCGGATCTCCTGCCGACCTCCCTCGCCCACCACCACCTGGATCCGCCCCAACGCTGCGCCGACGCCCACGCGCACTTGCGGTGGCGGCCCCCGTCTGCATCCCCCCGCGCCTCCCACGCGTCTTCTCCCTCCTCACCCCTACGACGTTCGTACTGACGGCCTTGGTTCATCATCCTCGCACCACCATCGCGCCACCGCGTTCAGCGCCGCAATCGACTCAAGTCCGGGTGATTGAATGCAACCCAACGCGATGGTGCGCGCGCTCACACACACTCCTCTCTCCCTCCCTCCAACTTACACTCAGGCCGGTGTGCCTAATGTAGCGGAAGACCTCGTTTATTTGGCGGGTGCCGTGGACCTCCGTGCTCTCTGCCACGCCCCGCCGCCAGAATGTTACTGGTGGCAGCTCAAGCTTTCTGTGATCACCAGGCGCACGCCCCCCGCGTGGCGGCTCTCAAGAACCCCTCCACTATTCGCCGCCCTTTCCTCGCGAAGCGGGTAAGGCCTGGTGTGCTGGTGTGGGGTCATGGCCTCGAACCCTCCTACACACACGCACTCTCACAGAGGCTCGGGGTCGACGAATCCCTGGAAATGCCTGCTGCTGGCGGCGGCCTCGGCGGCGGAGCTAGCCCTGACTGCCATAGTGACGTCTCGCGGGTGGGCGGGGGCGTCAGGGGTGGGGGGTGGGGCGGGATGGGAGAGCAGAGGGGGTAGTTTGGCAGGCAGTGATGCACGGGAGGAAATGGGCGAGAAGGGACGAAGACGACGACGCGCCATCTCCCGCGAAGACGACGCTGATGCGAATAGAAAGCAGGCAAAGTTTGTTTTCAGCCCACCCTTCTGCTTCGAAAAAGCAATAAAGCGGGCAAATGCAATCGATCTGGTGTCTGTCCGTCTGACTTCTTCGGTTATGGCCCTAGGGGGAGATGAGGATTTTTCGGAGGTTTGGCAGGAAAGAAAGGGGGTGAAAACGAATATTCCCACTAAACATTTAAAATAGTACCTGCAGGGATAGGTTTGAGGCAAGTCGGGGGCAAGCTTGACAACAATAACCGAAAAAAACAGCCACGTTGTACTACTTAAGATAATTGCAAAGTTATTAGGAATGACGAAAACCCAATGTACTGCTATACCACGATTTCTCCCTTTTTCCCTCAAAAAAAGAAGAGTCAAATAATAAAATTCCTTGCTTAAATGAAGTTTTGATTGGTGAGCCCAGTGAGCAATAGGGTATTTCAGTGGAACGCTGCCCGGAACTAAGAAGAAACAAAGCGGATGCAGAGAGCGGTGGTGAGGGCGGGCGCGCGGAGGAGCGGCTGGTGGAGGGGAGCTCCCCCGCCTGCCCTCCGTTCTTCCCCGCGCCCGCCCCCACCACCGCTCTCTGCATCCGCTTTTGTTCTTCTTAGTTCCGGGCAACGGTCCATTGAAATGCCCTATTAAGCCATGTGCCATCGATGGAAGTTATCAAACATTTTTACAAAGACTTGTGTCAATTTTTCCTCTAGTCACTTATAACGGAACGTATACACAATATACCCCTAAAACATATTATGTTGTGTACGGCATAGCTTAAGCACTGAGTGAAGAGAATTTTTGGAAGAGATAGTAGCTGAGCGTAGCGAAGCTTTACTCTCAAAGACTTCTATCAAATTCTCCGGCCCCACCCTGCAATATCGAAAAGATTACCGCAGCCGAATAATTACCTGTATACACCTTTGTAAAACTACATATAATTATACTATAATTATAGGAAGAAAACGTTGAGTTCTCAGCTTATTCGCAAAACAAATTATCAGGGACATAATTTTATGTGCATGCTAGGGGGATTAAGACGATATTCGGCGAATGCATTATTGAAGCTTCATGTGCGAAGCATTTGGCCAAGCCCCTGGGTAGTAGCCTTTCATTTCATATTAATAAGTGTACTGAAAATTGCACAATAAGTACAGTGTGCCACAAATTTAACTTTTTAGCACAAACCTACGACCCGTCCGTGCAACAATATCCCTATCTCTTGCGCTGCCCCAAAAGACTAGCCTATCTGTTTCGCTACCCGGAAAGTCTGCAGCGCTGCCTTCCTTTTCTTGTGAGTTTGCCAATATTAACAGTAAAAAAAAGTTACACCCAGAAAATGGTAGTTTTGGAACAAGGCAAAATGCGTTGCTTCAACGCTATTTTTACCTCAAAAAAAAAGGGGGAAAATTGTCTTTAACTTAAGGCAAATGACATGACGACAAGATAAAATAAATATTTCCTTAGATCAACTTAATTTTCATGGAATTAATGGAAAAACCTTAACCCAAGGTCGAAAACTACCTTGTATATTTTGAAGAAAATTCCTTGGTTTGAGCATACCATTTTCTGGGCGTAAACACTGCTGCGTGTTTCTTAAAGATCAATGAACAATTCTTATTTTTTTACTTTTTTCTACGGTTAATATTTGCAAACTCACAATAAAAATAAGACAGCGCTGCAGAGAGCGCCAAAAAACAAACCCCAGAATCAATGCTATAATCCACAATCCACAATCTCTTATAATCTTTATCTATAATCTTTAATCATTCACTGTTAAAAATAATTTCAGTTCTGCATAATTTATCATCTGCTAAAAAGGTCAGAACTTCACGAGTAATTCGTTGAGAAAAAAAGCTGCCAGAACTCTTTGTGAAATCACAACTCTCCTTCGTTGTCAAAAATTGATTCGCAACTCAGACTCCACCAAAGTATTTCCTAATTAGTTTTTGAAAAATTCTGTTTCAGAGAGCTAAACGAACTACGAAAGCCTTCGTCGGATAACCCGGAGATCCTTCGCTTCTTCCGCTACATGAAGGCCGCCAAGGACGGGCAGGACAACCAGGATTGCACGCTGGTGTACGCCCAGTGCACGCAGTCGGACGCGACGCAGGCCAGCCCCATGGCTCACACCTTCCAGGACATCAACAAGCTGGTGCAGGCCCGCCGCATGTCTCGCATGCTGGCGACAGACCAGCGGAAGGCGCCCGAATCACCGCAGCGTCAATCTGACGTCAGAAAAGAAACAGCTTCTGCCCCGATGCACCCCGCAGCGCCCGCGGCCTGATGGTCGTGATCGTTGACAGATGCGGACTTAGGCTCCTCCCCCAAAAGGGAGTGAGTGCTTCTGACAGTTCGACTCTCTGTCTTTTTATTTATGATTTCAAACAATGGACGCAAAATGTGCTGTTTTTTTCTACGAACGAAAAGTGAATGTGAGTGAGACTGTTTTTTCGCGGGAGACTGAACGAGAGCCATACTGTAGGGATGTCATCTCGACCCAAATGCAAAATGAAGGGGAAGGGACGGTTTTTCTCTCTTGTACCTCTTGGATTTCTTATCATGTGTGCCAGACACCCACGAGAATCCGAATCGACGTCGAATCGACGGAGAATCGATCAAGTGTAGGTCGAAGTGACGTTGGGGCGACGCCGGTTCGCCTGTTGGGGCGTAAAGTTAATCAAAATGATCTTTGAATTGCCATGTTGAATTTTTTCGTTGTAAATATGGACGATGTTTACTTCCAGGGTAGTAGATAATTGTGCATTGTATAAATATTGCAGAACTCTGTCAGCTATTTTTTGTGATGGCAGACTAGTAGAATAAGGTGAAGTGATTTATCATTAATATTTGCTCAATTTCAAGCAAGGAAAAAGCTCAGGGCAATACTATTAATGGGTGGATTTGGTGAAAGGACTAACGAATATTTGTGTACACGATAGTAATGTGATCAGGCACTTCCTGAAAACTTAACAGTTTACTTAAAGCACACAATGAAGCGTGTACTTGCAGATATTTCAAAGGAGTGTGTGCACATGCCATGGTGCCACACAAAGGAGCATGTTGTTACATAAAGTTAAGTACATACGTGTATACTCGGGCTATTACTCACTGTACCATGTGCGTTATCAAGTGCCCTCTTGCGAGTGGCTAAGTATACTATTTGGCTTGCAGTGTTGTTAGCCGGTGACGACTAGCTATTGGGTACAATTAAACATGGTGTGATTCCAACACGGGGTCTTTTTAGATAGTTAAGATCTTTGATCTCCTGCGCTTTTGTTAAAAATTGTGACAGCATAATTTTTCTTCGTTTTTGGACTTACTCTCATAGTTTTGATCTATAGTTTTGCGTTCGTGTTCTCTAGAAAAGAATATAATAACCTAAATTTTGTCGACGTTTAGTATTGACAGTTCTTCTGAACGCTTGCTGTAGGGAAAACTTTAGTTTGGGATGTGAGGTCACAATGGTAAACATATGGAATTAGCAGTAGCTCTAAGTTGCATCTCATCAAGTGGGATTAAGAGTTGACAAAATGCTAGCGCGATTTTCACGCCAAGCGTAATTTTTACGCCAGGCATCACGAAAGCTATCCTCTTATTGGCTGCTTGAAGCTTACTGAGCGTGAAAATAACGCAAGCGTTTTGTTAAATCTGTATCCACCTTCACTAGTGCTCCTCTATTTATTTATCTATTTATTTATTTATTTACATTTCTTTGTTTACTTATTTATTCGACTTATTTATTTATCTATTTATTTATTTGCGTATTTTTCTGTCGTGGTTTTTTTTCCTTTGGGCTGTACAAAGCGCCGTACAAGGATTAAAAAATGTTTGAAGGAGTTTATCTGTTGTTTAATCCTAAATTCCTATGCAAGTAATCGCCTAGTTATTCACAAAATCAACATCACAACAATCCGACGCATCCCAACCAAAGAGTCGGAACTTCCAATCCAAGAGACTTGTATCTACTTTCGGCGCTCGTCGACCACTCTGCATAAGCTCTATGATATCCGAGCATGTCAATTTCAGACAGCTACTTAAAATTTCTTAAAACTCAAGAGTGTGAACCAAGAAAGTATTTTCTGGGTGTGATAAGTCAGCAATTATCAATGGTCATTCTTTAGGTTCTCTTTTCTTTAAGGCAGGTAAATTTTGAAACATCACTGCTTAAGTACTCGAAAGGCGGCCTTTTTTGTTGGTGCTGTCAATTTGAACGAATTTGGTGGGCATGCAAAACAACAGCGGATGTCTCTGATAGGAGACGTCTAAGAGGAAATGTAGATTAGGCTGTAGGAAAGGGGGGGGGGGGAGTACGCGTCTGTTCCCAATGGCTCACAACACACACACCAGGCAACCGATGTCACAGCAGGGCGTGGTGTGCATGAAGGGGAGGGAGGTATGTGTACTCACCTGACGCTCAGACATATCATGCCATACGCGGACGGAAACAAAGCAAACCCGCTCACCCTGCTGCTCCGTATTGATACTTATACGTCGCGAAAAGTACAGGGGTTGAACCTCATTAGGATGATAGGTGTGATAAATGCGATGGGGGCACTCGTGATAAAAGTGCACATTTTAAAAATTATCAGGCAAACGAACACTGTTATAACTAACTGCCGTAAGAAAGTGCAGTTTGCCTACGGTCCGCAGGGGCCGTGGATTGGCCAGACGGTAAAGATATGGGCCGTACTTCAGTTTGTGAGTAAAGTGTTGTTATTGACCATTAAGACAGTTTGCGAAAGTTACGGTATATCCTGCACGAGATGGACTGTAATCCAGAATCACGGTCGCAGACCTCACGACCATTTGACGGGGCGTACCATTGTCCTTGTAGGTTTTTCTAACAGTGAAGTATGAAGCTTCACTTCGTTTCTCAGATATGCTACATCTAAAACCGTATTGGAGCTAAAGATGGATTTCCTTTTGGCAATAGACGTTTCTTTTAGTCGGTACTCAAAGTATACTCAAAATATGATGTTGTCCGGTCCATGACCTTGACCGATGCACTGAAATACCGACCCGGATTAAAGACCCCGTGAAATCTTGTACATGTTGGCAAAATACATGGGCACACAAATGTAGGCCGCCTACGCTTTGAGCTTGTATGTGCTCTACATCGACATCAGGGGCGGATTAAGGGGGGGGGGGGCGATCACCCCCCCCTGTCGTCTCTAGAGAGCCGCCTGAAAGGTAGGCAATTTGCGACACAAAACCCCTGTATGTAGGCAACCGACAGTGCATCGCCCCCCCTGTCAGCCGGCCCTTAATCCGCGCCTGATCGACATGTCACTTTTTGTAAGTCGACATGCATGTGACAGCCATATACCGGGTGATTAAGAGCACGCGCCGCCGTGTTGCGGGTTTGCCTATCCTCGACTCGGCAGGCGAACGGGTGAGAGGTGAGGAGGTGAGGGGTCCCCTCCTCACCTCTCACCCG